AGAAAGCTTAGCCTCTGACGCACTCCTCCTGCCGCCCCCATCAGCCTCGAGGCCAAGGCGAAGGGCGCAACGGGTGCACATCAGGCAGGGGAACACGGTGGCAGGGCCTGACGGCACCAGCCCCGGGGACCAATGGCATCAGAGGTGTCAGCGCCCTGCCACAGGCCAGAGCAGCAGAGAAATCAGAGTGGACAGGCCAAGTCCCTGGGGCAGGCCAGGTTGGTGCGGGGGTCATCTTCACGATGGGACAGGATTGACCTGGCAGTCACCGAGCCGTCACACTCACGCCAACACCTTGCCAATCTCCGGGCCCAGCAACGAGCCCCAGCTGGTGTGCGGTGGCTGGAGGCTCAGCGGGGAGTGCCTGCGGCAGTGACAGGCAGCAGACAGGGGAGTGGATGGAGGACAAGATAGGCCGTGGTTCCACAGGGTTCCCCTTCCCTGCACTCCTCTGAAAAAAGAACCCTGAAGAAACAGCTCTCGGCGAATGTCTGCCCCTGTGCTTGGGGGCCAGGGATAAGACACAAGGGACCCTGCTCATAGGAAGGTGCTGCGCCCACCCCCTGTCACTGGCTGATGCCAGATGAGAGAAGGGAGTCCCCAAAGGGCAGGCCATGATGTTCAAAACACAAATACTTGCTGGGATCCTGAGCTGGGTGGGGTTCCAACCCCCTGGGGTAACAGAAGAGGCAAAGAGAGTTTGCAGACGCCAAGAGGCAGCTCTGCTTGGGAGCAGGGGTCTGTGGGGAGGATGCACTGGGCCCAGGCCCTAACAGAGGAGAGACCCGTGCATGGAGCCTGAGCCTGCCGGGGCAGCCGTCACGATGACAAGTGTCAAGCAGGTGCAACCCAAGCACCAAAGGGGTTGAACAGGGGCAGGGTGGGGAGACTCCCGAGCCGCATCCCCCATCTCCCTGCTGCCCATTCCTGCCTGCTCCCCACCCACATGGCCTCCTCAGAGCCTGCCAGCTCCGCCCCGCCCCGCCCCACCTGGCAGCCACTGAGTGTCCACTGTGTGTGAGGGGGGAGGGAACCCTGCGTGGCTCCCAGAAGGCACAGGACAAACCCACATAGCCAGGGACAACTAGGCACCCCCACCGGCAGGGCAGGCCCAGCCCCTCCTCCCCAGGCAGGCAGTGCCCACGGTGCAGAGAAGGGAGCTGTATGCCCCACATTTCCGACCTTGACAGGGTGACAGCCTCCAAAGCCTCACACCATGCTTCCTAACTCTGCGGAGGGTTTCTGACCTCAGTGTGTCAGAGGGTGGAGAGAGTGGGAGCTCACGAGATTCCTCCAGGGCTGGCTGACCTAACCCCGAATCCTCTACCTCGCAGTCACATCTGCCCCAAGGGAGGCCAGGAGACCCCCAGGGTGGGAAGAGGGATTTTGTGACCCACTGTTCAGTCGGTGAATATTTATGGAGCGACCACTATGTGGGCAAGCAACAGAGAACCAAACAGGCAAAAGTCCTGCCCTCATGAGCCATAAACTGACCAAAAATAATGGGTGAGTCCAGCACTATAAAACAATATAGAACAGGGCCCAGGGGACAGAGTGACAGGCTGGAGCAGAGGCTGGTATGGACAGGTGGCTAGAGAGGCCTCTCTGAGAAGAAGACAACTGGGTGCCCGAGGAAGCGAGTCCCATGGACATCACGGAAAGAGCTCCGGGGGCAGCCAGTGCAAAGGCCCTGAGGTCTACTGGGGCCTGGGAATTTCAGGAATGGGGAGGCCAGCGTGGCTGCAGCAGAAACGAGGAGGGGTGGGAGGGACAGCAGCAGGGGCAGGGTGGAGCCTGGGGCACCTGCAGGCCAACACCTCCACTCCACAGATTTCCAGCGCCCATGCCCCACCCACACAGAGCCTGAGTGGCCCAAATGGGCCTGAGGCCCAGAGCCGGTGTACAAGCCCCCCTGAGCCAGGCCCCTGCACCACCACCCCATCCCAAGCACGGGCATGCACACAGTCACTGTCGCCATTCAGTACTCAGGCAGCGGTGGCAGCGGCTGGGGTCAGAACAGCAGCCTGGCTGTTGGCTTCTCAGAATGACCACGGGGCCTGGGCCTGGGCATGTCCGAGGCACCACACTCACCTGAGGGACAGGAGACCAGTGTCCCCTTCGTCCTTTCTATCGCCCGTACCAAATGTGCACAGCCCAGGGGGTGTCCACCTGCTGCCCCTCAGCTATGTGACCTCTGACCTCTGCTTAGCCTCCTATCACAGAGCTGTCCTGACAGCCAGGGAGGTGACCTGAACAAGCTCGCATAACAAGGCAGGCAAGGGCCTGGTCAGCGGGAGGTACCATCCGTGCTTCCTGCCCACCATGGTGCCTCCCGCCCGCCACATCCACTGCCTGTCTCCCACGCAAGGGCGCTGGCTCAGACAGCGCTGCCTCCATGTGGCCCGGGTAGCCCTGCCGTCCCTGACCCAGCTTTTGCTGGTCTGCGAGATGGGAGCCCTAGCACAGGTCAACTAAGGCTCAGAGTAGCCCCTCGGCTGGAAACAGCTGTGGGGCGACAGCGGGTCGTGCCCCAGCCTCCAGCCCCAGCAACGCCCACATCAGCCTGTGGGATGCACCAGGAACACTGCCAGTCCCATGCCACCCCTCACCACCTGCCTTGCCCTCTGCGGTGACTCAGTCACCTCATCTCCTGGTCCAGGCAGGGTCTGCCCAGCCAGTGGGACCCAGAGGCAGCAGGGAGGGTGGCTCCACTTCCCAGCCCAGCCTTGGCCTCAGCCAGGTGGCTGAGGAGAAAGAGACCAAAGCCAGGTGGTCCTCCTGCACACGCACGTGCACACACACATGCATGCATGCACACCCATGTGCACATATCCTGTCCTGTGCCCCTGGACCCTGACACTTCCCTCCAAGAGCCACCTGCCATCTCCCATGGGCTGTCCCCCTGGCAGGAGAGCCTGGGACCAGACCCCTGGCTTGGGCTCGGGGATGAACAGCGCCTTTCAGTCTGACCACAACCTGGCTCTGCCCCATTTCTCAGAAGTGGACACTGAACCCAAAGAGACAAAGTGACTGGCCCAGGGCCACATGGCCAGAAGCCATGCCGGACAGAGCCCAGGGACCTGACATGTCTCTGTGACATGAGCCAGATGGTGGGGTGACACCAGAGGCCGGGGCCAGACAGCCCTGCTCCAGCCCCTCTCATGCCAGGTTGTACCCTTGAAACTTCAGCTCCTTGCCTGTCAAGTGGGATGGAAACACCTGACATGCAGGGTTGTCACTGGGATTAGTGACAGAATCGCACGGGGGGTGGGGGGAGTCACAGGCAAGCAGGACATGAGTAAAGCAGGAGAGGTCCTGGTGCTAAAGAGGGCTGGGTGATTCTTTTGTCTTTTTCTTTTTCTCTTTCTTTTTTTCACAGGATCTTGCTAAGTTACTAAACTGTCCAGATGAGCCTGAACATGACATCCTCCTGCCTCAGCCTCCCCCAGTGGGGGATCACAAGTGTGCACCCCCACGCCTCTTGGACCCCCTTTAAAGCCCAATGTCAACACTCAGGTCAGCACTGGGCCATTCCCAGGGTCACTGGGGATCCAGGGAACAAAGACAGATTCCTGTCCCAGCTCAGCCTCAGTCAACTCAACTACAAAATGGTTATGATTATGCCCTAAAAAAGCCCAGCTGAGGGGCCTGGGCCCTGCTCAGCACCCCTCTTCTGTGCATCTCCAGCTGCCCACATGCCCACCTGCTCCCCCAACCCCCCTCCTCTGCCTGCAGATGATCTATGCTTCAGAGGACGAATCAATACAATATATAGCAAAGACATCTTTAATCTTTTGCAGGGATTAGGCTACAAGGTGCAGCGGCTTCTTTCTACCCACCACTCAATTCTGACTTCAATTTGGCCAGCTGCAGTGCAGCTTTCTAACTCAGCTTTCGCCAGCTCAGCCACCCCCAAATCAAAGCCCCTCCAGTGGGTGGGGCCGGGGCTCCCTGCCCAGGCACAGCCCAGCCAGCCCCGGGCCCACACCATGACTCGGGTGGCAGGGAGCACCTGGGACACAGGGCCCTGCGGTGGCAGCCAGACTCTCAGTGACAGGGTGGGCAGGTGGACTGCAGGGCTGGGGGCAGGGAGCGCAGGGGTGGGGATTGCACCCAGCAGGGGCAGGTTTGCGCTCTTCTCCAGGGTGCAGGCCTTCATAAATTCCTGAGCGGGCTGCATTTGTCTCTAACACCCCCACGCCTGATTAGATGGCTCCGAGAAGGGCTGGGGTGCTGAGTGCGCCCTGGGGGATGTGTGCACCCCCTAGGGCAGGGGCCAGGCCGCAGCCCTCTGTCCCTTCCCCTTCCGCACCTCTGTCCCTATGCCCTGCAGAGGAGAGCAGGAGGAGAGGAGCAGGCAGTGCAGGACAGGAATAGAGCGAGGACACAGGGCCTGCAGGGGCCGGAAGCAGGGGCTGCACTCCAGCTGACTTCAAAGCAGGAGGGGTGCTGCCTGTCTTAACATCTCCTGACACCCCACTTTCCACTCCTCTCCTGGGCCGCCGGCCCCCAAGCAGCTCCCTGGAACATTCACAGGGTTTATGGGGGTTTCAGGTGGTACCTGCCGGGCACTGCTCCCTTGGACACGCTGAGGTCCTCGGAGACAGAGTCCTGGAGCCAGGGCAGGAGGGACAAAGGGGCTCCATGGGGACTGGGCCACCACGAGCGAGAAGGCGCACCAGCCCTGTCCCCTGCCTAGCCACTTCAGGATACCTGCTACCATGGCTCCACCCAGCTCTCCCTCCCCAGCCGCAGGCAGCTTAGCTCCAGGGCCCCAGCTGCCCCATCGCGCACCTGTCCTGGCGCCCTGTGGCCCTGCACGCTCCTTCCTCCTCCCAAGGGGTCCCACGTGGAGGGCACAGCCTGGGCAGTCCCAGCCCTTGTCGCCACATCTGCAGCCATGGCAGGGTCACCCAGGGTGGCCACAGGGCAGAGATGGTGCTCAGCAAGGGGACTGAGCCCCGAGGGCTGGCAGAGCTCACGCCGCCCACGCCACTCACCATCCTCGCGGGACTTCTGGATGAAGGCCTCAACCCCGCTCTCGCCGTAGCTGCCCTCCGAGGCCAGCGTGGACACGTAGCTCCACTTGAGGGCGCGCACAATGTCCACCATGGCCTGGGCCTGGTACGTGTCCGAGGGCACCACGCGGGAGAAGAAGTCGTAGCGGCTGTTGTCGCTCAGGTCAGGGGCCGTGGAGGCGTAGCTGATCTGGGGGATCTAGGGGTGAGAGGGACAGCTGAGGGGGGCTGGCACCCACCCGGCCAGGCCCTCACCCTGTGTACCAGCCACACCCATCCGAGCTGGCATGGGACCCCCACAGTGTACCCCACCCTCACAGGCCTCCCCTTGAAAGCCTACGACAGGGCATAGACAGGCCCCAAGGCCAAGTGGGTCAGACAGCCAAGCTGAAGGCCCCAGCCAGGGCTCCCATGTCACCCACTGCCCGGTCCTGTGCACCCTCAGCAGGAGGGTGGCCCTGCACTGCTGGTCCCCAAAGTCCACGCCCCTTAGCATCTGGGGGCCTCCATTTCCACAAAGAGCTGGGTGATCACACACCAGGAGGGTAAGATGGCTCCGCCTGCACTTAGGGGTACAGTGTGGTGTGTGGGGGGGTCCATCCTCTCTCCCCAGGAAGCCTCTTGCTCACTACAAAGCCATCCCCATCCCCACAGCCCTCCCTGGGCTCAGGCTCCTTCCTCCTGCATGGCTCAGTGGACACAGTGGAGCTTGCAGCTCTCCCCACACAGGAGGGAAGCCTGGGCGGCCAGCAGGGCCATCACGCTGTCCTTCCCCTCCACAGCCTGAACGTAGGCCTACGGGCAGAGGCAGAGGCGGAACCATCACAGGCTCCTGTCCCCAGCGCCAGCCCTCCCGCCACCAAGCACCCTCTTCCATCTGGACCTGGGCCCTCTAAGACAGGGCGGAGACTCAGGCCCCTGTAGCTGTAGCCCCCACCCCACAAGACCCTGTCCCCTGCCCTGCCTCTTACCTCCCTCCCTAGCTCACAGACCCCAAGACCCTGGCTCTTGGAGGCCCCAGCCCACTGCCTGGGGCTGGCCAGGCCCTGCCCCCACTCCCTGAGGCCCACACTCCCCACTCCAATCTTCTCTCTAGAAATGTAGGGGCTGCTGCACTGAGGGGCACTGGCCAGTGGACATGGAGGAAGCATGTCACGCCCATGAATGTTCAGTCTCTGGAGCTGGGCAGCCTGCAGCAGGCCGAGAAGCGCAGGACAGGCCCCATGGGAGGCAGTAGGTGCTCGACATCAGGGCCAAGGGACAGACAGAAGAACGTGGGGTGACTCTCAACAGTGGGGACCCAGCCCATGCTATACCAAAGGCCCAGTGACCGCTGGCTCAGGCCTGGAGATGAGTCCAGAGGGAGGCTGGGGCAGGACAGAGGGACACGTAAGTGACTCCCTGGAGGAGTCAGAGGTACCACGGCACCCAGTGAGGCAGACTGGTGGCCACAGGAGCCGCAGATCTGCAGCAGGCAGACAGGGGACAGTGGGGTTGGGGACCACCAGGCATCATAGGTTGTGGCCACTGCTGACAGCATGGGGACACAGGCCAGGGAGACTGAGGAGGGGAGGGAAGAAGGCCCAGGACCGAGGGCTGGGGACACTCACAGCAAGGACTGGGGGTGGGAGGCGGTCTTGCACATCCGTCCCAGAGGAGGGAGGATTCCCAAAGACCAGACGGTCCCCAGAGGGACACAGGGCTGCACGCAGAGGACCCGTCTCCTTCCACAGCCACCTTCCCCATGCCCACTGGAGCCACCCACAGACACTGGCCATCTCCCCTGGGCCCTGGGGTTCAGAGAGGCCACGCCAAAAGACGCACGTGGCCCCTCCACCTCAGCAGTTCCTGCAGCCACCACCCACGCCCCCCACACACTCAGGGTCCCCCACACCTTCGGGAGCCCTGGCATACTCTGCCGTGATTTCCTGAGCACCTACTAGGTGCTCTGCGTCCTGCTAGGCGGAGAGTGAACAGACAGAAACTCAAGCTTTGCGGGACGGGGTTTTCCTGGGCGAAGCAGTAAGGAATGAGCGCCACGACCCGCTGCTCAGACGCTGCCACCATGTCCCGCTCCCTGCTCTCCGGACGCCCCAGCCACCTGCAGCAGGAGCGCGTATTCCCACAGCCACAGCACGTGACTGCAGGGCCCCGCTCCGCTGCCCCTGGGACAGCCACACAAGGGACACTCCTCCGTCTGAACCTCCGAGCCAGGGCAGGCAAGGGTCACCTCTCCCCAGCTGCTGGGCTGAGCTAAACTGAACTCAACTTGCACACACTCACGCGCAGTCAGCAGCTGCAGGGTAGCAAGCGTTTCTGAGACGTTCACCACGTGCCGGGAACTGCCCCAAGGGACTGTGGACACCTGAACACCTCTGATCACACAGGCACCCTGTGAAGCAGGTCTCCTTTGCACATGTTGCTAAAGCTAAGAGGTTTTACAGAGAGGCTGAGGAACTCGGCCAAGGTCACACAGCTAGTGAGGGGCTAAGCCAGAATTTGAACCCCGGACATGCACTGCAGAGCCAGTGTCATTAGCTGGCCTGTGAGCCCTCAGGCTCCCCTCCTGCACGTGGTCTCAGATCATCAGGGGCCACCCATGTCTCCCGTGAGGCAGCTCCCTGGGGCAGGGACACAAGCCCCAGCCCAGCTTCCTCTCCTGGCAGTCACCCTGTGAGCTGGAGTGGTTCATCTGTCCCCAACACCAAGGACAGGGCAGGGGTGGGGGCCAGGGCCCCAGAGGGTTGTGTAAACGGCTCTGCTTCAAGGCACAGCTAATTTCTAAACATAATTATTAATTTCATGCTTATCATATGCAAACCTCTGTCTCTCCGAAGAGATGAAATTGATTTAATTAGAAACTCCATCATCAAACCTTTTGGATCCAAGCTTCGCATTGGGGTCCCTGGCCCCTCTGGTGGCTGCTGTCCCACACGTGGCCCCCGACTCCCCAACCGCACACTGCTCCTCCCTGCCCACAGTGCCCCCGGCCAGGCTGTGTCCCTCATCGGGAGCCCCTGGGCCCGGCCCCCCACAGGGCCCCTTCACCAGCAGCCTTTCCTGTCAGGGCAGCGCTGCCCTGCCTGCTGCCAGGAGAGGGGCGCTCGCGGTGGGCAGAGGGCGGGAGGCAGGACGGGCCGCCCCTCCTGGGCAGCCCCCGGGGGCCTTGTGGCAGGGACCTTGCATCTCACGCAGGAGGTGCCAGATCACACGGGTGCCCTCCGGCCTGTGCCCACCTCGGTCTCTCTCACAGCTCTCGCCATGCTGGCCCCTGCCCTGCCCCCCGGGAAATGCCCAGCCGCCCGGCGGAACGGGCTGACCACTTCCTGCACACTGCTTTCACCAGCTTCCTCCACTTACCAGCCACCTCCTAAGAGGTGAGCGCAGGGACGCATCTGCCTCGTGGCTCCTCAGATGCCTGGGCCCAAGGCAGGCGCTCAGCAACGCGAGGGGACGCTGCTGTCCCTCAGCAGCCTTGCCTGAGGCACAAGCCCCACAGCACTGCAGTTGACGTAAATGGAGGGAAACTGAGGCTCTCCGCCGTGCCAAGAGGAGCTGCTGAGCTGATCTGCGCCCGGCCTGACACTCGTGTGGGGGACCTGGTGGTGCGGTGGCCATAAGCGGGCCAACGGTGTGGACGGGGCTCCGAAACCTCCCTCCTCCCTCCCCAGGCCCTGCTATCTGTGGCCCTGAGAAGTCCACAGCACCCCGCAGGAGGCGTTGTGGGCCTGTCCCTACGTCCCACCTGGACCTACCCAGCCTTCTATCAGGGTGACCAGCGATACTTGGATGGATTTCCAGGTCTGTTCTGAATTATGTTTTCCAGAAGCAAAAGAGACAGGTGTACCACCAGCTCTGGAACAAATAGTTCCCCCAGGAAGCCTCTTTATTCAGTCCTTGACTCGCTCTTTTAAACGTTATCTGTTTCTGTGGCCCAGGAAACCACCCTCAACCAAGGCCGCAGTAGAACAGAGGGGCTCGGGCTGCAGAGCCTGGGACAAAGGGCGCGGTGCGGGGCAGGACAGCAGAAAAGACCGCAGGGCGGGCGGAGCAGCCACACGCGAGAGCAAACAAGAGCCTCAAATCAGCACTTGTCCTATTTCATAAGCGAAATGGAGATCAATAAATTACACTCACTTTTGCGGGTTTTACATGCTGACTCCGGCACCTTGTCAAGACTGAGGCACGCAGGCTGAGGGGGCGGCGGGCGGCGGAGGGGCCCTGCGGCCTGGCAGGACGTGGAGGCCGAGCCGCAGCCCCTGCTCCCCTCCTCACGGAGCCCCACACCCAAGTTCCCAGGCCCAAGGAGGAGCTAACAGCTGTGATTTCAGGATCCGGCCCCCTCATCTGTCAGGCAGGCACCTCCCTGAGGATCTGAGCCTTGTTGAGCTCCCCAGCAGGGCCCCCCAGAGACTGCAAGGAGGGCAGGAAGGAGCAGATGTCAGGAGCCACCACTGCCCTGTCATATGCAGGTGACCTGGGCGGATGAGAAGCTGCCCCAGAGTGAGGGGCCAGCCGGGCGGCTTCAGGCCCGGGGGCAAGCTGGGGCTGGGGCTGGGCAGCAGGCGAGGCCACGAGCCACACCAGGCAGGATTCAAACCCAGACCTGTGTGGCTCCAGCACGTGCGTGCTCTCCGCCTGCTCCCCTAACCGGCACCACGGGGGGAGTCCTTGCTCCTGATCTTGCCCACCACTTCCCCCGTGCCTCAGTTTCTCTATCTGTTCACAAGGGTCTGCTCCCAGTAAGGGGCCCGTGCAGGTGGTGGCAGTGTCCAAGAGCTTCTCCTGCAAACCCAGATGCCCGCTGACAGACAGCCGCAGTGGAGCAGCCCATGGCGGTGGGGCGGGCCCTGGAGGAATTAACCACAGTGCCCGTGCGCTCCAAGGCCAGGTAATGTGCGGTGCCGGGAATATATGGTGCCGTGTTAATATAAGATGATATAATGGGACAGGTTAACATTATTGAACACATGAGCCGATAAAAGTCACATCGCCATCACGCGGTGATTTATAACACAGCCAGACCCAGCCAGGGTGGCCGCCAGGTGGACAGGGAGGAGGCCCCACAGGGCTCTAGGGGCTGCCGTGGAGGAGCCCTGGCAGGGGGAGAAGGGGCAGCCTGCACGAAATGGCGTTTGCTCTGCACAGCCCAATGCCAGCTCTGCAGCCCTGCCTTGCCCTGCCCTGCCCTGCCCTGCC